AAAGAATCAGACCTTCATCATTCGATATTCCTACGGGTACATTACTAGCAATTACGCCTAGAGAGACGGCCAACAGATGGGCAATACAGTAATAAAAAGTTAAAATAATTAAGCCTTATCTAACCGGAACAGTGATAGCGAAGAAATGAAGCACATTATAGTAGACTGTGAACATACGAATAGGGGTAGATTGCAGTAGAAAACTGAATGAATGAATTTCAATAAAGGAGATGATCAAGAAAATGGTTGCTGACAAGGAAGAGGTATCTCAGGGGTGACATACATAAAATGGAGATGGACCGTAGTTAGCAACCTTAGGCACTCAGGCTTCCACATGAAGTATAAGAAGATGATGAAAGATCACCACCCTTACGGCGATGACGGATCAGGAGTCTAGACTTCAGCTGCTGCATCAAATATGTCACAAAGATTACGCAGCTTCGTAACTTCCTCGGCCGGTATAGGACTGTCTGGATCGATTTGCTTGAGACAAGACTTTAGCTGGACAAGTGCCTCTTCTTGGCCGATAGAAAAGTCCTGGTCATCGCTATAAGATTCCTCGCAATCTAACTCTCGCCTGACTTTGACTTCAAGGATATGAATAGCGAATCTCAGATTGTCCGTCACGAGTCGTTGGGCAACAAAGAAAGGATAGGAGTAAACGGCCTCAAACACGTCATACTCTTTGACATCGTTATCCAGGAACAATTGAGCGTCTGCTGCAATATCTGGTCCATTGTCAAGTATGTAGCCCTTGAAAGTTAACTCCTTGCGATGCGATGAGATATTCTGTTGTATAGTATTTATGTAGGATAAAAATGATCTTGTTCTCACATGAAGCCATTTGTCAGTCTCTTCCTGAGAGAAGTAGTAGATGCCCTGCCTGCCAAGTGTTTCTTTGATTTCCTTTAAGGTGATGCCGTGTGTGTGGAGTGTTTCGATATCCCACTGCAAATAGTCCTTGCATCGGACTCCGTCACACTTTTCATTTATGATTACATGAAACCTCTCTGTATCCCGTCTCAAAGCCCTCATATTCCACTCTACATCGTAAAAGACTCGGTCGAGATTCCGCAGCGTATCGTCCATGGCTTGGTCAATATCCCGCTTCGCATCGTCTATGGCTTTATCAATATTCTGCTTCACATTGCCTATGGCTTGGTCGATATCCTACTCAAAATTGTTCATCACCCGCATCAAATCCTTAAAATCCTCCTGCAATTGGTAGTTCATCCATTTATTTTGCATTTGCAGTAGTCCACTTTCAAGCACCTCGTCCGAAGGGTTGAGATTGGTTTCCGCTGGCAAAGACTCCGAAGACTCACTCACGGTTGAATCTGTGGAGGGCTGATTCCCCATCTTCTGGATCTTATCTGTCATCCTAGATAGAGCTGTTGGTAAGACACTACTAGTGTGTGTATTATCTAGACGTGGCTCGTAGGATCCTTATATAGGCCTCTGTGGGCCCTGTCTACCGTAGGCCTCCGCTAAGATAATGGAAGGTCTCACGGAGGTGCTTGAGCAACTTTGTAAGTATTTACTCGACTGTGTGGAAACCAATGCAAGGAGAATACGGAAAACTGAATAGTGGAGATTTCTGTTTCTCTGGATTTACTCAGAGGGACTTTCTGTATCTTCCCGATTACCATTCCTGGGTAAAGGTTAGACAAACTCTGGTCTATAGTTTCAGCTTTAAATTAAGGTAAATCTATGGGTATTTTATAATTTTAATTATCGCTATCATTATCCGGTCCCTTTCAATCTGAGCTTTGCTAGAAGACTGATTCTGATTATCGCTACTACGACTGTAATCATTTGCTTGAGCTTCTGAAATATTAAAAGCTTCCTGGAGTCGAATAATCCGTTCTGATTCAGTGGTATGACTATACGAGGTGCTGTGCGATATTGCGATTTAAAGATATCTTCAGCGGTCTCCTGCTTCAAATCGATCATCTTCCTGTCGAGGGTACCCAGTCCCTATCCCGAATCTCCCGTTTTGACGTTCGAAGTGCTGCCTGGTAATATGGTGCTAAATTTTTTTATTTTTTGATCACTTTGATTTAGTAACGCCGAGCAATCGAGCAGCTACTCTTCGGGGTCTTTGTATTTCTAATCCTCCTGCAATAGACTTACCTTATATCAATATTCAGCCAGCGAAAAATTCATTGTCCTGGGTAAAGAAGACTCATCAGTCCTGCTCTTTCACTCTTTCAAATAGGGAGAGCTTCTCGGAACAGAAGCATTCGTGCTAGCTTTCAGATAATTCATTTCATATCATGCTCATGGTCCCTATCCTGGATCATTTCACGGAGACTCCTGAGCTCAGATTTCTGGTCCAAATAACATCGTCACTTAGAATCACTCTTTCTGATTCGTGTTGGAGGTAGATACCACCATATAATCCAGTTTTTAGGTGGTTGTTTCGGTGAGCTCCGACGCCTCTTCAATAGACAACCACAGACTTGAATAGTCGCAAATATTTGCGGCTAGCTGTCAATGCTATACACAAGGTTTTTTTTTTGTCCTGAAGACATAGTTCTCCGCTCTCCCTGGACGAAGAAGTGAGAGTCATCTAACCAGGATATCCAGGTGGGTTACCGGAATTTATAGATTCAATTGGGCTCAAACTATGTACAACTAAGTGGGTGAATAGGATCGAAAAGATCAAAGGAAGTCCTGCTACGTGAAAAATCGTACGGTGTTTCAGTAAATATCCAATGCATTAATCATAAGTAAGCGTGACAATCGTAAAAACAAACAAAATATATCGAAAGCTCAAGAACGTCTCTTGGCAGCACGAAACCTGTTACAAATGTCTTTCAAGCTTGCGATCTCTTCGGGGGTAATCGAATTATCTGGGTTTATCTTCCCAAGACGCAAATTTAACTCTTTCGCCACTTTGTCTTGATCAAGAGACATTCCTCGCTCAAAATCTTCTTGACGGAGTTCGTAATTTGCAACCATATTTATCGTTTTAATTATGTATGTCATCCCGCTAATTTTCAGACGCTTCGCAACAGAGGGTGAACATAGATAAATCGATTCGAAGATTTTGGGCCCATCGATATAATCGGGAAACATCTCGATCATGCGAATGTCGGTCACAAGGTCCGCATGGTGGACGAGCTTGTTGGACTTGGAGATCTGCCGCTTGATACGTCCAAGCCACGACGACTTCTCTTGGGTATTTTCGGCGGTACGTCTTGACCAGGTGAGGAAGTTGGAAGTTTCTTTTTCTGACAGTCATCCAATTTTTCCTGTCGCGGGCGAATAGTTCGTCATGTTCGCGGTGTTTTCCCCGAAACTCAGCAAGTTCCGTCTTCATGCTCTCCATCTGTTTGCACATGTCCGTGAACTTGGATTCGATTCCGAGAGTCTCCTGGTCCTCACTGGTTCCAAAAAACACATTCCCGTTGGAAAGGCTGTGCAGGACGGCCGAGTTGATAGCTTTCTGTGCTTTGTCGCGCGCGAACTCCTCCGAGGGTTAAATGTTGTCAAGAGAAAGCTTTTTACGAATGATCAAGTCCAGCATCTCATCCGAAGGGTTAGTTTCCTCTGGCAGTGACGGCAAAGACTCCGAAGATTGACTCACCCTGCGTGCTTCCTGTTTGAAATGGGAGGGCGCATCTCCCAGTTTCGCAATATTTCCCGTCATGATAGGGCTTGGCCGTGTGGACAATAACAGAACTAAAAAAAATGGAGGATGAAGTGGTATGAAGTCTGGATGAGAGTAAAGGAAAGTGTAGGGACTGAAGGATTGGCATTGTTCGTAGAAGCAGCAGGCATTCTTTTATAAACACTTGCTTGACACCATGCGAGAGATACGAGGGTGGAAGCAAACCATGGGGGAAAACGGGTGGTTCCATAGCTGTTCAAGAGTACATGAATATAGAAAGAGAAGTAAACAAGGGAAAGACGGGAAGCATCGTGGATGTTGAAGGGCCGGTGCGGCATGGAAGAAAGAATACCAGGAAGGGGTTCTTTCTCAGGATTGGACCAGGCTACTTGTAAAGTTTGGTATATCGGCGTTTTCAACCCAAGCCTGGCGGATCAGCCTATTGGAAAAAAGAAGGATTTTCCTGGTTGGGCGTATGCGAATAGCTTGTAGGGATTTTTGATTGCTTTGATCTGCTCCTCATGCAGGTTTGCTCTTCATTTCATTGTTGATGTTGTGGTGTGGTGATGGATTCTTAGGATAGGAAACATTTGTGAAAACACGTAATGTACATCTAGGTAGTTGTAGATATCCCGACCACGTTTTAGGGCCCTGCTGTGTAGGGAAACCGATATGACCAATCTATTCTTTATTGGTATCGGATCAAAGAACGAGGGAAAAAGAGTGGAAAATAACTAACAAGCAAGAGATTTGCGACAGGGAAAAGGTAGCTGGCTGTATAGACCAGATGGTTTCCTAACATCTGCGCGGAATACGGAGTACTCAAGTTTGTTGCTTTGTTTATCGGAGGTCATACTTGCGGCGAACGACTTCTCATTGACGGCCTTCAAATCTGTAAGCATGATGATCCAGCCGGATAAGATAGAGAGAGAGAGCAGGAAGGGGAAAACGAATGAAGAATGGGACTAGAAATAGTTGATTGGGTACAGAGGGTGGATGAGGATGAAGAAGAAAACGTCAGAAGGTGCCGACAAGTATAGTGCTAGGCGAAAAGATAGAATCCGGGGTACATTCCAATTCAAAGTGAAATCCCGACCTCTGTAGCTTCAAAAAAAATATTATAATAATTTTCTCAACTAGTTGCTGTAGCTGACATCATTTTGATCTTTCATCCGTCTTCTGATGTCGGCAACCCTATAGATACATGATCTCATATCCAGCATCGGAAGTATTATCCGCCCATGTGTGTTGTGTTGCCCCATCGGCTAGCTAAACGGACAGCCCAATACTTAGTTAGGTAGTTAGGCGGTTTGATATGTGCTAACTAATAATTTGGCAGAATTCTGAACGGATTGTTTTCATCTTCCTAGATAATTTTATGACTACGGGTCTTTAGTTGAATATTCAGCTGACTGAGCACCCTATCTGGATTGAATGGAATCAGGCCAGCGCCTGCGAAGCTATCCCGAATAGTCTCTGCTTAAAAAGCGCGTTCACGAGCTTGTGGAAAAGCCTCTAGGAAACCAAACTTATGAATATGATTGATTCCTAAGCGTGCTTGCTTCTCCACTAAACTCCCGTACGCTTTTTTTAAAGGCGCAAAGCAGCCTACGACCAGAGGCTGAAACTTGTGGGAAGAATGAGCTGCCATACAGATAGGAATAATATTATTCTCACTGCATATCTGGTCGAATTGAGGCGTAAGATGGCTGCCATGGCCGTCGAGAATAAGAAGACGATATCTTCCAGTTGTACGACCAGTAGTAGTAGGAATAAAGAGATTTTGAAACCAGCGAAGGTCTATCTCATCAGTAGTCCATCCATTAGGACTAACTTCATTCCTACTATCGCGTGGGAGCTTAATATCTTGATACCAACCCTCTATATGGACCCTCCCTTTAGAGATCACACATGGAGGAAGGGCCTAACCAGTAGAGTTGATACATTCAATCGAAGTAACCCATTCTCGATTGCCTGGCTGTACGAGAGATGTCTTTCCATAATAATCAGCTCTAGTAACTACTTGAGCAGTAGCTAATAGACCCATAGCGAAGCCAGTCTCGTCAAAATTGTAGATATCTTCCTGTGCGATCCCATGCTGCATTATAGTGATTTGTACACGATCAAACCACTCCCTAATAACTTTAGGGTCTTCGCATTTCGCTCGTCGATAATCGTAGCGTCGATTATAGCGTATTTTTAGTTCATTACGTCATTAATAAATTTAGAGATCCAGTTCTCTCCGACTGTCTGAATAGGCGTTGTACCGCGCGTATCAAGAAGAATATCGGCCATTTCTCGTATATGCGAAGGTCGGGGAGACGCTCCGCGTCAATCTAGCGATAGAATCCATTGTACAAGCGATTCCTCTTCATTTTGAGTTATTTTATGACTGTTGGCGCGTATTTCTGAGCGTGTAGGTATACCGCGTAGTCATCTGCGGAGGGTTGTTTCGGAGATACCTATTGTACAGCGAGCTGCTTCACAAATACTAGAGATTTCTGCTTTTTTTTTATTTTTAGCGGAAACTGCTAGTAGGGCCCTACCCTCTTTCTGTTTCGAATCTTTTGAAATTTGACGCGCTTTTGGAGGCATGGTGGGTAGTTGAATCAAGGAAGGCAAGACGACGCGTAGATTTTTGATAAGGTGCGGCTGGTGCGGCGCTCGGTAGTGAAATACGTTAGATAAATGAAGTCATCCATCATACAGCGGCGACTATCCGATAATTTTTCTTTCTCGCTCTTTTTATCTAGGCGGACGATCA